GTTCATATCGTTCATTGGTACCTCCAGTGTTGTATCTATGGTCCATCCAAGGTTTGTCTCCTTCCACTTCGCCTCTTCAAAGCGAGCCTTACACACCAACTCCTCGAAGTTCCATTCTATCCCAGTCAGCTCTTATGCAATCCAGACTCAAAATCTTTATATATAGAATAACTTCCTCAACTCCTATAAGCATACTCATCAACTGACTCGTTCGAACCTTGTCTCCTCTAATGAAACATACTGGTCTGTACTGCTGTTAGTCGAACGGGAGTAAATCTTTTAGCAAGAGCTGCTTTCAGAGCATCACAGCTCCTCTTCTCAGACTCAATCACTGCAAGGCTTGTAGAAGGATCTAGCGGGGCCCTCCAGCCTCAATGGAAGCTGTGTTAGCTTTTATGGTCGTCCCATCTACATTAGACTGCCATTTCCTCGAAGCGGTCAACCCTTTCCTCAAACGAGTCTTCTTCAGCATACTCCTTTGCTCCTTTAAAGGGCGGCAGCACTGGTAACTGTTAGGCATCATGAATGGGAAGACATCCTTCTACCGTTCACTCGGTCCCTGTCTATGCTGTCTCGTCCAAGGAGCCAGAGATCGACGTCAGTCCACTGTGTATTCCAGTTGCTCAAGTTTCTAGCTTCGCCTCCAGCTCGCTCTTCTCTTAACCATCGAGCTCCTCTCCTCTGGCCTCCCACTTCTGTTTCTCTAGTTCAGCGGTCTGCAGCCGTGGACGTGGTAGCTCTTCCTCGAGCAGTTCGTAGCTCTTCCTCGAGCAGTTCGTAGCTCTTCCTCGAGCAGTTCCCTCCGTAGCTCAGGACAATCCACCATCGCTCTCCTTCCGCAACGTCAGATCTTTTTTCCAGAGCTTCCATTTCTCCCACTGATTCACTTCCACCTCCACTCTCCGCCAGAAGTTTCAACTGCTCCTTTTGTTCTTGGGCAGCTCTCAGCTTCTTCTCCATGCAGTGGATCTGGGGGGCAAGGGGGCTGAGCCCCCCAGTTTTGATGAAGGGGCAGAGCCCCCCCACTCTTAATTTTGATGCAAGGCAGCAGGACTGCAGGAGGGGCACTGCCCTCACTTTTAGTTACTTATGTTATTAGAAGATGCTATTAATTTAGCGTGTTATAGCAGCTGCCTCAATTCATTGCTTACTATTACATAAGCAAATTACTGATAACTTTGATTTAGCTAAGGAGTTTATTAGTATAACTGATGAACGCACCATATTTTTGGATTGAAACATAATTGAATTAATGAAAATGAGCCCCCCCCCCATTTTTAGATTGGTGTCTCAACCCCTGACATGAAGATGGTCTGCTTCATCTTTGCCAGGACACAGACTAAGCCAGCCCACCATGGACTGATCAGTGATCAGCTCCACCCCGCCGGTTACTGTGTATGTACACGGCCAAGAATTATTATCTCTAATACAGGCCACTACCCAAAATCAATGATTCAAGCCTGATGTCTATTTTGATACGGTACCGCCCTGACTGGCATCAATGTTGAATCATGTCTGTTGCTCTGGCTGAACCAGGGCCGTACTCCAGCATGGTTGATCAAATCATGGACCATAGATGGTTATCATGATTGTATCATTCATTCTAGACCCCGCATTGCTTTGCAGGCTACCCCAAACCATGATACAGGAATGTATCAAGGCTGATCCTATTGATATCAGTCATGATTCAAAGTAAAATTCTTGGCTGTGTATGGTGTATGTAGTTTAGATTCGAGTTTGGATCCATCATCTCTTTCTCTTCCACAATGACTGTCAGTATACATGGGGTGACTCTCTCCTCTCTCATATTCAGTCTCAAGGCTACACCTTGA